TAGTTGCTGTTGTATGTGCTAGTAAAATTTTTGGTTTTATCCCGTTGTATGGTATTATAACACGCACAGATTTATATTGTTTGCATTAGAGTCCTATTCTTGATTTAGGCTTAACATTTATTCTGAGCTATTTATGTTACCTTGTTTTTATCAATACCTTAGGCTTTAGAAACCAGTTTTGAGCCATTTATTTATTTTATTGATTGGGGAGTATAATGCAACACAATGAAAATAATGCAAATTTAAAAGATATAAATAATATTCAAATGGTGTAAAAATACTTTAGGAAAGATGATTTGTTCTCTTTTAGAATAATGCACGTCTTAGAGAACTTTTTCAGCTTTTAAGAATATAATTTGTTAAGATAATGAGATTTCTGTGGAAATCAAAATTAACCTTATAGTTCACAATTATGAAATATATGCAAACTAAATTGTTTCCTTTTTCCCTCTAACTATTCTGGGACAAGGAGGAACAACTAGTGATTGACAGATCATAATTTGATAAATAATGGCTAATACTCTATTACTGTTTCCTAGTTTAAAATTTTATGTTTTTAAATATATATATATTTCATGTATACGTATATGTAATCTAATATTACAGAGACACTTAGCAGTATTTTCATTAAGTATTTGCTCTTTGCATATTTCTCACTTTATTCTGTCATTAGTTCTCCCACTGTCCAGGATCATTCCTATCAAGTACAAGCATGCTTTAGAACCTATCATGTTAAAAAAAAAAAGTATTATTCCCACATTTTTTTCTAACGATTGCTTCATTTCATTCTTGCCTTTACAGCACAGTTTTTCAAAAGAGTTTTCTCTAGTCACTTTCTCTACTTCCTTACCTTCCTAAATTCATCTTAACTTTTAACTAAAGCTGAACAAATATTTATGAAATACATGTAAAGTATAGAGACTAAAGAAACAGACACCATTGACCCACCATTACTGTTATTTTTGAACATTGCCATTAACATTGAAGTTCCCCGTGTGTCACTCCTGGATCTGGTTCACTTCTTTCTCTTTTAGAGATAATCACCATCCTGAATTTCTTTACAGTTTACCATATGTATTTCTAATAAGCATATCTCAGTGTGTATTTCATTTTAAATGAGTGAAGTTATACTGTATGTATCTGTCTGTGATTTGCTTTTCTTGTTCAACATTGTTTCTGAGATCCATCCATATACTATGTAGCTGTATGTACTTCATTCATTTTCACTGCTGTACTCCATTGTATGAATATACCAAAATTTTTCTTTTATTGTTGATGAACATTTGGATTGTATCTAGTTTTTTGCTACCCTAAGCTGCACAGCTATGTGCATTCTTCTTGTCTCCTTCTGTCAAACTGTAGCAAAGGACCAAGTTTTTGAGTTTTTCCCTGATCTGTTGTGGATTGATGCTTTTGTAAAATATACTAAAAATGTCTCACCAATGTCAAATTGCTATAAAAATATATAAACCTTTACTCTGAATTTCTGTATTTATCTTGTATGGACTGCATTTTGAATACTGCTCTAAGATGTGTACCTAGCTGTGGAATTCCTGGGTCGTTCATCTTCTATTACTTATGGAGAAAATTGTTTTCTCAAAATCGCTAATATTCTAGTTGCTCAAATTACACAGAAGGCAGTCTGCCAGCTCTTTGTGGCTTTCTGTGTATCTGCTTTCAATTCCTAATATGAAGGGGATTTCACAGTAAGACCTGCTGCTTTAGGGTAATGTAATTTTCATCCTAGAGAAATTGACTGCAAATAAGATTAGGCTTTGCTTAAGAATTGATTCAAAGCTAACCTAGCAAGCACAAGTGAGAGAAAACTATGATAATGGGATAAAGGGCCAGGATGAGTGAATTTATTGAGGGAGATGGTCTGTAATATTGTAATACTACAATATTGTAATATGCAATATTGTGGAAGATGGTCTGTAATATTGTAATACTACAATATTGTAATATGCAATATTGTGGAAGATGGTCTGTAATATTGTAATACTATAATATTGAAATATTGTAATACAAAATGCTACGGTAGAGAGATCTAAAGAAAGCAAGCAGAGAAAAAAAAGCATTGTACATAGTAAGATTTTTAGAGACCTTTAGGAGTCCAGTTAAAATAGGGCATACATTCCTTCTCATGTTAGCAGCCTTCCTTCTGCATAGGCAGCCTTACAGTTGTCTCAATGCGTTAGAGAACTTTCACAAAATATAAGCTGAGATTGCTCTTATAAGTAAGCAGCAGGACTACTTTATATCAGTGTTTCTCTACTGTATTTTCATTACAACCCCAAATCCAGGAAAAAAAATATATATGTTTATATTATATATAATATACAAAATATTATCTATACATATGTAAAATATTATATATACATATATAAATATGTTATACATATGTTTCCCTAATCTCCCACTTCATGTCATTTTCATACCAAAGATGTACAGTACATCTGTTTGTATACTGTAACCTTTGGAGGGCTATGAACCATTTTAATTTTCAAGATTTTTTTTTTTTTCCCCAAGAACCAATTACCACCTGTTTGGGAGTGATAGCACCCCTGTTGAGAATATATCACATGAATACAAACATGGCTCTTGGCATTAGAGTACAAATATTTAAAAAGGTAATGTTTATTTAATCATATAGGTCAATGAAGTGGGGAAGGCAGACTACTCAATGTTAAGAAACCATTCTAATGAAAGTATGCTTGAGTGAGCAACAAATCAACTTCTACTTAGGGTAATGAATCAGGGAAATAAGGTATACAAGTATTTTTCTCTGTTTGATGGTGTTATTGTGGGAGAAGTATAGAAATATGGATCAGATGATAGTACAGTTAGGTAAGGTTGTAGACCAAGAATGCAAATTAGTTCATTGATGCCTATCTCATAGGTGATTTTTAGTGATACATGGTATGGCTCTGTTTTCACTTCTGTCTCTTCTATACATCTATTCGTGAACTTAAGAAAACATCAGATTTATAGATGTCATGATAATGGGAGGAATGAAGAATAGGGTAGTTGACATTCTCAATCTCCAAAGAAACTGACAGGCTAAAATAAGGGCAGAAGTAAAGTATTGCCGTTGGGTCTAAAAAGCCATATTTATAAGAATAGCATGGAGGAAAATGGATCATAACAATATCATGTATAAAAGAAACTTAGGGATTTTAGGTTATGTTAATCTTTTTTTTTTTTTTTTTGAGACGGAGTCTTGCTCTGTAGCCCGGGCTGGAGTGCAGTGGCGGGATCTCAGCTCACTGCAAGCTCCGCCTCCCGGGTTTACGCCATTCTCCTGCCTCAGCCTCCGGAGTAGCTGGGACCATTCTCCTGCCTCAGCCTCCGGAGTAGCTGGGACTACAGGCGCCCGCCACCTCGCCTGGCTAGTTTTTTGTATTTTTAGTAGAGACGGGGTTTCACGGTGTTAGCCAGGATGGTCTCGATCTCCTGACCTCGTGATCCGCCCGTCTCGGCCTCCCAAAGTGCTGGGATTACAGGCTTGAGCCACCGCGCCCGGCCGGTTATGTTAATCTTAAGAAGCATTTTAGGAAGCTGTTAACATCTTTATTTGCAGTAATTAGTGTCCCTTGAATCTAGATTATATGCTGATTAAATCACAACCTGAAATAATTATATCAGGATCACATTTAGGACCATATAAAATATTGCTTAAATTTAATGTGTCTGTTATATATGTGGTATACTTTGCATGTAGTTATATCAGAGCCATTTTGTGGGCACTGGTTCATGAGCCTTCTAAGTGATTGTACTGTGTCTGAATTTTCTTTGGGAAGAAATAGGTTTTTCTTCAGTGGTAAGAAAGAAATTACGTTCTGCAAGGATATTGATGAGGAGATGGTGTTAATGATAATTGACAATTTTTTGAGTGATTAAGCATGGGTGTATTATGTAAAATATGAGTCAACAAACTGTAGTCCACTGACCAAATCCTGCCAGCAGCCTGTTTTTGTATGACCTTTGAGCTAATAATTTTTTTTTGCATTTTAAAGGGTTATAAAACAAAAACAAAAAGCAAAGAATATGCCATAGAGACCTTATGTGGCCTGCAAAGCCCCAAATAAGATCTTTTGCAACCAGAAAACTTAAGCCTGAAGGACAAGAAACAACACAGATAGTTCAATATATAGAAATTATATGATTATATTACAGATTAGGCTCATATTCAATAAAGGTTCAGAGCTATGTACAAAATAGCTGTTATAATGTATTATTTAATCAAAAGGAGAAGACCTATTTAACTCAGTAAATGTCAAAGAAATTTAGGATTGATGATAGGTAGCAGTTATAACTTCCTGAATTAAAGTTAATTTTATCTCCTTGGGCATATGTAGTGACTACTATATTGGGTTGGGAAGCAGCCAAAAAGCTTGTTAGGAAGAAGGGTAGGAAAAAAAACTAGTCTGAGACTCAAGTTACCGTTGATAGGCTAGTCTATCAAGGAGACAGACAGGAAAACAATCACTAATTATCTGCATATCAAAAGGAGTATGTGCTGCTTTTGATAAATCCATTCCTTTATACTTAATCTAACCCCAAGGACAACAAGCTTTTCAAAATGTTTTTGACAGAAGTACCTTATTGGTAAGAAGATAGCATCACCCATCACCCATGATGAGCCTTTGGAGATGGTGGGTAGGCAGAGAATATCTGATGATGTGTAATATTTCTTTTATTTTTTGTGACTTAATGTGGTTTTGGATTTATATTTTCCTTTTTGTGGTAATATTTGAAGATTAATATGGCTTGTTTTAGTTACTTTATTGTGATAATTCTTTATTTTGATTTCTCAATTACAGATTGTATTAATTAATGAAATATTCTGTCTGGAGATAATTTTTATTCTCACCATTCCAGTATCTCTTCCAGATTTTGAGCTATATTAGATAATTGTAATGGAAAATGCTCAATTTTGTCTTTACATATTCTTGTTTATTTATTTCTGGTTTGTAACCAAGTGAATTTTTTTTTTCCAGATGATTCTTTGGGATTGGGACTTAAAGCAATGGTATAAGCCTCATTATCAAGTAAGTATAAGTAATATCACTAAATAATACCTGTGATGAAACTTTTGACACTTAAAGATTTGCAATATTTCTGTGCCATAAGATTTTCTTTAACTAAACTCATAAGTTAACTAGAACCTTCATTGAGGTAGATTTTTTAAAAATACATTTTAATTATAAGGGAAAAAGAAAATGATAAAAAACCAAATTTATATAAATTGTTATGAAAATATTGCTAATATAATCTGGGCTCGGAATCAACTCATATTTCTATATTAAGAATAAGATTTTTTTCTTTTCTGATGTAGACCACTGATCTATAAAGGGGAAAAAATAGATGGAAGGCCATATCTGAGACAAAGCAAAGCAATTGGCAACATATTTTATTAGGGAAGTAAAGATACCCAACTTTTATTTTTTGGTAAACTTTTTATTGAATTATAACATACATGCAGAAAAGTGTACAGCTCAATTTTCAGAAGTTAAACATCCCATGTAACTGATACCGATATGAAGAAATGGAATGTTTCCAGTATCTCAGAAGCCTTGCTTATGCCCAATTCCAGTCATTACCTATATCCTCAAAGGTAAATCCTATCCGACTTCTAGTTACTAGTTTTGCTAATTTTTGAACACTATATATATACAAATGAAATAATATGTGTTAAGATTAATTTTTTGAATACCTAAGTAATATATGTTTATATCAGATAAAATGAAAATAGAAGTATTTAATATAAGGAGGAAAAAGAAAAATCACTCATAAAACATCAAGCAATAACTATGTTAACTGTGTTAACTTTTGATGTATATCTTTATTGATCTTTCCCATTATGCCAAATTTACTTAATAATTCTAATAGCGTATTTGAAGATTAAGTCTTGAAGTACACAATAATGTTATCTATGAGTAAAGACAGATTTATTTATTTATTTCCAAACCTATGCCTTTTATTTCGTTTTCTCATGTTATTGTACTGTCTAGGACCTTCAATTCAGTGTTGAATGGAAGTGGTATGAGTAGGCAGCCTTGTTTTTCTTCATGAACTCAGGGAGAAAGTGTTCAACATATCACCACTAATGCTTTTTTATAGATACCCTTTAGCAGATTAAGGAAGTTTTATTCTAATTCTAGTTTACTAAGGACTTTTTTTCTCTTTTTAAGTCATGAGTGGATATAGAATTTTATCAGATGCTTTTTCTGCATCTACTCAAATGATTCGAGAATTTTTTTCTAATTATTCTACTAATGTGGTGAATTGCATTAATTGGTGTGTTTGTTAAACCATCCGTGTATTCCCAGAATAAAGTAAATTTGATCAAGATGTATTTTTAAAAAATCTTTATCCCTATATTCCATTTGTTAATGTTTTGTTTAGAAATTTTGAATTTGTGTTTATGAGAGAGTGTTGGCCTATAAATTCTTACTTTTCATAATGTTCTTGGCATTATATTGGTATCACGGTTACCAAGAACCTTGATATCAAAATAAAATAAGGTGAGATATTTACCCTTTCTATTATCTCAAAAACTTTGGGTAAGGTTAAAAATTGGTATTATTTCCTCCTTTAACGTTTGGAAGAATGCTCTGGTGAAGCTACCTCACCTTGAATAATTCTTTTGTGGACAAATTTTAAGTTATGGATTCAATTTCTTTGTTTTAGTACTATTTAGGTTTTCCATCTTTTCTTCTAACAATTGAGTTACTTGTGTTTTTCTAGGAATTCCTTTTTTTGTTGTTCCTTCTGGCATTTGTGAGACTGCTGAAAGCCCTATTTTAATTTCCAAATAGAAATCTTTTTGAGGATTTCTACTTGGTTTATCTCTCTCTCTTAGCCACTTTTATAAATTGACAAATGCCTTTAGAGGAAAAGCAGGTCTGAATTTAAGCTCACTACTTTGTTTTTCTCATCACTTTGAGATCTTGTTTGGCCCTCCCTGTCTTCATAACTCTGAACTGCAATTTCAGTCTTCCACCCCCTTGAGACTATAGATCTCTACTCTGTTTCCTGGCCTCTTTTGTGCTTTTCATCCTCTCTGCTCTGTGCCAGTTATGAATCAGCAGAAAATTCCTAGAGGGAAAAGAGTAGCACAGAATGTTGGGTTTCTTTTAATCTTTTCTCTTAATTCTGGGTTCTTGGCCCTTTATGCCCTGGCTGTTTGGTTGTGTTTTGATGCCTTGAAATGTATGCTATTTATATTTTATTTCAGCTTTTCTAGTTGTTCTAGACAGAAGAGTTGGTCTGATACAAACCAGTCCCTCTTGGCTGGAATATTAGGCAAGCCTCTTAAGACACTCTGAACCTATTTTCTCACCTACAAATTGAGAATAATACCAGTTCCCTCAAAGGGCTAATTAATATGTGCCTAGTACTCAGTACAAATGTGAGCCAATATTATATAAATTTCAATAATAATAAATACTAACCTGAACTTGAAGTATAAGACAGAAATGAGCATTTTTTTCTTTAAAAGGCCAGAGAGTAAATATTTTAGCATTTGCAGGTCATACAGCCATTGCTACCTTCTGCCACCCCTACTGCTTCTCCTCCTTCTCTCCTTTTTCCTCTTCTCCCTGCCACTCCTCTTCTTTTTTAATAGCCATTTAAAACATAAAAACTATTCTCAACTTTCTGTTTAACAATCAAGATTTTGCCAAAAAAAAAGTGAATGGAAAATAGGAATTTAAGTTCAACTTTTAAAATTGTGGCAAATAATTTGAATATTCAATTTGATCTGTCACTCTCTTGCTCATTTCTCTCCTGTTTCACCCAGAGTAAAAGTCTTTGTCATGTACGTAAAAGAACTTGCACAACATGGTTCCCTCCCTTACTCTCTTGTACTTCTCTTTGTCTTCTGCTACTTTCTCCTTCATTTACTCTGTTCCAGCTGCACTGGCCTCCTTATTATTCCCCAAGCAAGTCAGACAGGCTTCTAACTCAGGTCTTTGCACTTGCTAGTCTTTCTGCCTGGAATGCTTATTTCCAACACCTTGTCGTGTCTTTACATAAGCATTTCCTTCTTAGTGAGGCATACCCCAACTATCCTCTCTAAAATTGCATTGCGTTCTATCACATCTTTTTCCCTTAACTTACTTTATTTTCTATTTTTAGCAACCTGTTCAAAATCTATTATATACGACCCTTTATTACTCATATTACTTAGCTTGGAATCAATTGTTCTCAAAAATTTGGTCCCAACATGTCTTTCCAGCCTGTTTTTCATTGCTTTCTTATATAATCTATACTTTAACAATTTCATGTTCCCTGTATAGCATTATTTTACTGCTTAAAAATTGTATTTTACCACGTTTATACTTGTATTTATGCGGTGTCCATTTTGTGCAGTATACTTCCCCAATACATTTTTGTTTTGTTTTATTGTAAACAAATATAAATATAATCCTAACAAATTTTTAGGGCCCAGCTCAAAATGCTACCCCTTCCATAAAATTTCTGTTACCATCCAAATGTAAGTTTTCTATATCTCTTTTGAACTCTAATGCCATTTTGTCGCTATATATATATATATTTCATTTTTTGAGATGAAGTTTTGCTCTTGTTGCCCAGGCTGGAGTGCAATGGCATGATCTCAGCTCACCGCAACCTCCACCTCCCGGGTTCAAGCGATCCTCCTGCCGTAGCCTCCCAAGTAGGTGCGATTACAGGCATGCACCACCACGCCTGGCTAATTTTGTATTTTTAGTAGAGATGGGGTTTCTCCATGTTGGTTAGGCCGGTCTCGAACTCCTGACCTCAGGTGATCTCCCCACCTCGACCTCCCAAAGTGCTGAGATTACAGGGGTGAGTCACCACGCCTGGCCATTTTGTCTATATTTTTATATCTTCACTTTCTGCTAATAATAACAGTACTATCTTTGCCTTTAGTTATTTGTACTATACATTACTTTATATGCTCTGTGTGTGTTACCATATTTATTTCTCTCTTTTCCTCCTTGCTAAGTACAGTTATTAACTCTGGAAATAATGTAAGAGGAAATCAAGTGAGAACTATGAAAAATGGAAAGAGGAAGGCAGACTGACTAGGGACCTTAGTACAGGAAAAACAACACAGTGACAGAGTCTCTTATGACCCACACCCAACAGCAAAACATGGTCTAGGCCCCCACTCTCAACCTATAAACATAAGGTGACACAGGTAGGCTTATTCTTTACCCCAGATTAAACAAGAGCCCTGCCAACAACACTAAGCAAGTCTGGTGGCTCTAGCAAGGGGGAATTAATTTGGAGCCACTGGCAATCAGTGGCTAGGGAGAAGCTTTCTCCTTCCCTCCTGGGCATGAGACTCCCCTTCCCCACTGACAGACACTTGGTAGCCAATGTGCCTGGCAAAGGGGATATCCTTACAAATGCCTAGCCCAGAAAGTGATCTTTATTCCTGTGGCCTGGAGACTCCTTTCTGTCCCCTAAAGGAACCAGATGACTCAACCTGAGGAAGCTCTCTCTCCCTCTACCCTAAGGTACTAATATGGACTAGTGGGAACTCAAGGGGCACCAAAAAAAAAAAAAAAAAATCAAACACACCAAAATGATTGTGAATGCTTTGAAAATTGTCATCCAAACCACAGCCCACAAAAGTACACCAGGACCTGTGTGACAAACCTAAATGGGGATACTGCCTTCTAATGTCAAAGATTTTGGTAGGACCCAGAGTCTTGTAAGTTATAGTCAAAATATTGAGAATAAAATAAAAAATCACCCATCATACCAAAGCAAGAAAATCACAAATTGAATAAGAAAAAGGAATGACAACACCAAGGTGAATCAGATTTGGAATCATCTGGCAAGGATTTTTAAAGCAAACATCATAAAAATGCTCTAACAAATAATTACAAAGTATCTTGAAACAAATGGAAGAAGAAAGAAAATATTAGCAAAAGAAATATAAATTATAAAAAAACAAATGGAAATTATAGAGCTGAAAAATACAATAATAGAAATTTTAAATTACTGGATAAGATGAATAACAAAGTAGAGATGACAGTAGGATAGAATCTGTGAG